CGTCCTTGCGACGCTTCCCCCGGGGCTGCCGGCGCGAAACCCGCGGGCCGCTGCAGGAGGCCGAGCACGAGCCAGTCTCTCATCGGGCCCTCTAGTCGTCGAGGGGCGACGGCCAAGGAGGGAGGCGTGCCACTGCAGGGCGCGAGGCAGTGACTGTTCTAGAACAGGCGGCGAGGGCCGCAGGTGGACAGACGGCGAGGGGGGCGCCCGCCGCTGGCAGACCAGGGCACCAGGTGTGTCTCGAGAAGGCTGGCCTGCCTGCGACGGGGCCACTCGGCCCTGCCGTGGGGGGCGGGGGGTGGTGGTGAGCTTTCCAGAGAAAGCGGGGGTCCCAAAGGGTGGAAGACGCGACATGCTGACGACAAGCACGGACACCTGTGCATAGAGAAGTGACTGACAGGCCGTGGCCACCACTGGTCCACAAAATGCGCCCAGTGCCGACCACGGGTGACACCTTTTAGTTTAAAAAACAGCTTTTCAAGTATACTGGGAAAGGCGAGGGTGTTTGTTATTTGGAAGCTGAATCCACCTGTGGTGACCTGCAGACGGCGGGCGCCCCCCTATCGCCTGCGGCCACGCCCGGTCTGCAAAGGCCGCCCATCCGGCTGCCCATTCGAGGCCGTCGACCCTTGTGTCTGCACCGGGAAGCCATGCCCCCTGCCCCCAGGGCATGGAAGACAAAGGGACGCAAAAGGGGTCGGCACGAAACAGTAAACACGCTGGGTCTCACTGTCAGGCGCTTCCAGGGCAGGAGCTCATTTCCAATGCTCTGCTCTGGGTCCTGGGCAGCCCAGCCAAGCCGATAGTTCCAGTTTAGCCTCGAATACAAGCCTCCTCTCTGCGCCTGCCGGGGTGGCCGGCACAGAGCGGGGTCCCGCTGGACCCTCTCCAAGACTCTCTGCGCCCGCCGGGGTGGCCGGCACAGAGGGGGGTCCCGCTGGACCCTCTCCAAGACTCTCTGCGCCCGCCGGGGTGGCCGGCACAGAGGGGGTTCCCGCTGGACCCTCTCCAAGACTCTCTGTGCCCTCTGGGGTGGCCGGCACAGAGGGGGGTGCCGCAGGGCCCTCTCCCAGACTC